CCCCCCCCCTCCGATCCTCCAGTTCTGACTGGAGGAAAGGACAGGGGAGGGGGCGGGTAACAGCTGGCTCTGCCTCCAGATAGGCAGAGCCAGCTGTCACTCAAACAGCTGGGTGGATCTCGACAGTATTGTTGGGATCCGTCTCGGATGTGGCGCTCTCAGTATATTGCGGGCAATAGCTTGCTATATACTGGGCTTTGGGTCACGGGAGGAGGTTAGTCCTCCCGAGATATGTCCTCCCGAGACCCTAAAGAGAACTATGAGGAAAAACACCCCATAGTTCTGTTTTAACCGTTGCAGTGCTGGGGTAGTTCTACTGCTAGGGATAATTTAAAAATTTTTTCCTGAAGTTCTGCTTTGTGACTCAAATTAAAGGAAAGGTATATTGTATTGTAAAGTGTATTTTCAGTGATTACTTATTTTGAATGATAGAAGTGTTTAATGTGATTTTCACAGTTTTAAATTCTTTCTGTTCCTGTAGTAATGTACAATTATTGTTCAAAGCAGGTAAAAGATCCTGAATATGCAAATATGGCGGTTCCATGTATATATAGAATTAAGAACTATACTGTATATAATAACCACATTTTGAGTGTGTTGTCACATATTTATAACATTTTATATGAAGCTGATCTCGTTTACACATATATCTAACAAGACAGTATAACTATTCAGGTTATTGTGAGAAGAGACTTAAAGGAACCAAAAAGTTTCCTTTAGTATATAGCTTACATTTTAGTTATATACTTCAATATAACTAAAATAGAGGATTGGAAAGTCTATACATCCCCCTGTAGGGCTAGTTCACACCAGCCCAAGTGTGTTCCTGACAGATTTTGGCAGGAACATACTGGATTGACTTCAATGCCCCGCCCAAAAAACAAAGTGAGCCGGCCGTGATGCAATCCAGTAAGTTCCGGCCAGAATTGGGCCGAAACGCATTAAGGCTGGTTGTGATCTTTGAGGCTGAATTGATCCATGGTGCCCGCAGCTACAGAAGCCATGGAGGGTTTGTGTCAAAGATCTATTGCTAAGAGAAACATGGAAGCTTCATTTGCTGTAGATTTCCTTCTGATTATCCCTTGCCTGTTTATCACACCAGTGGCGTCAATACTGTCACTGACCACAGAGGCAAAGATAAAGTTTTCTGAGATTTCTGCAATTTTCTTATCTTAGGTTTTGTGGGTCAGTTATTTTTAAAGTATTTTATGACAGTGAATCACATAAGTCAGGAAAACAGAAGGTGGTCAGCAGTTGCAGCTCACTTGTTTCTTTAGTGACTGAAGCAAGCCTGTGCTTTGGCCATTTGTTAAAGGAGAACTATGGGGTTAAGGCTTTACCCCATAGTTCTCCTTAGGGTAACGGGAGGACACAAACTAGCGTCCTCCCGTCACCCAAAGCTCAGTATACCGCGAGCTACAGCTCTCGGTATACTGAGACGCCGCAGCTGAAGCGGATTCCCACAATTATGTCTTGATCCGCCCAGTTGCGTGAGTGACAGCTGGCTCTGCCTATCTAGAGCAGAGCCAGCTGTACCCACCCCCTCCCCCGTCCGATCCGTCAGTCAGCCCTGGCGGATCGGGGAGGGGGGAATCCAGCCCCTCCCCCTGTCACGGCAGAGAGCCGTGACAGGATCGAGAGGTGAGCGAACCTGGTGTGTGTTCGCTCACTTCTCGATCTACTGAGCCGACCTGTGACACTCTCATTGTCACAGGTCGGCTAGAACTATGAGGTGAGTGAAAAGCACCCCCCTCATAGTTCTCCTTTTGATGCTTTCAACAGGTTTGCCTTTATGTCCTCATATACCAGCAGAATGTACTTGCTATGCCTTCACTCTGCCAACAATTTGTTCACCTCTGGCAGGCAAAGGAAACACTCGGTACTCCTGGAGTATGGAGGTGCTTGCACCTCACTCAGTGTAATTGTACTGGTGTGTGGTAATTGGCCCAGTGCTGTCACATGGGGTGGGGAGTTTCTTCAGCACTGTGAAAACTCCAAATGAAGCTAATCAGAACAGGATCATCGTTCTTCAGTCGCCTTGGTTAAATGAAGTGCAATTATTTATTTAGTCCTTTTTCTCTGTCTGCATGGCCAGGGCCTGTGGGCTGGCTGATCCTCTGGAGACCAAGTGCTTTTGGCTGCCTGTGCTGTAATGTGATTATTATGGGGCCTTGAACGCATACAATGCATAGCCCATATACCAGTAGATTGTGTGGTGGGGTGTCAACACTACTACAGTCTTAAAAGCTTGGGTATAGTATTATCACAGGAACGGGAACAAGCTCAAACTGTCAGGATCAGCAGGCATGTAAGACAAATTTAGAAATGTGATTGAGCCATTGGAGCAGTTTTATTTTCTGGTTTTATACATCCTTTAAGGTGTCTTTACACCCTCATATCTGCCGCAGTTTGTGAATTCCAGGACCAGATTAGAATACCTGTAGCTCTGTAGTAAAACTGAGAGATTACCAAATTAACTTTTTTTACTTGGCTCCACAGATAATTTCAGAACCCCAACTGATTCAGCTTCTACATGGTAAGTCTTCAGATTTCACAGTTGTCAAGTGGCAGGATAGTTGTTGCATCACACATGAGCCAAACTGGAGGTTACAGAGCAGCGGTGGCCTATTTGGTCATGTGATAATGATCACATGACCAATTTCATTCCTGGCTTTTCTTCATCTTTCAGCTGTTTTGGTTAACAACAGTCAATAGAGTGGTTATAAATGAACAAAACAGCAAAATTCACATAATGTATTTTAGCACTATTTAGAGAAAATATGGTCTTAAAGATGAACTCCACCTAAAATAAATATATTCCAGGGCGGTATACCCTAAGTTAAATCACATGTTTGTATTTTATTTATCTCAGGGAATTTCCTGTTCTGTACAATGTTTACAGTTATTATAGCAGTGGTGCCCCACCATAGTGTAGAATGCAGAATACTGACACCTTCTTTCACAAATAGTTAGTTTTTATTGGAAATAAAAAAAGTAGAAAGCAATAAAAAAAATATAAGGTAAGTGCAGTGTGTTACGGGGAGCACAAGGCAAAATACAACATAGACCTTAATCATCATGTAAGGCACAGTACGAATGTTGTACATTTTACAGACGTAGCTGAAGAAAAGTAAGCTGTGTATTCCTCAAAAGTAACAAAACCGGCAGGAGCAACAAACAATGCAGGCACCCGCCACAGCAAGCCACCAGGAAAAGAGGCAAATGAACAAGGGGAAGTACCCCTAGGCATAAATAAAGGGGAGACACCAGAAGGGAGAGCTATATAGTCCAAAGAAGAAAGGCAGCACAGCTGTAACAGACTAGTAAAGAAAAGACGTAGAGGAGGAAGAGAAGAAAAATGGAGAAAAAGAAAGTGCATTCCACCCAGGGCACCACCCCCATTAAAAGGGAGCGCTATATTCGTAAGTCATGGTGTAAAGCGTTCATTGATCGCGGTGCCCTTGAGTCACTGGCTGACCTCATTAAAGTTGAGAGAGGGTTATTTCCAAGATCTTGCTATAGTCTGGCGTGTGACTAAAAATACAGAAGTGGTAAACCTCACTTCGGTTTTGAGCAACATCTGGGGTTTCTTGTTCAAGAGGGCCTCCCAAGGATTCCATGGAAGGTCATAATACAAGAGAGTTGTAAGCAGGTTATATACTTGAATCCATAGCTTCTGCACCTTGGGGCATGACCACCAGATGTGTGGAGCATGGATTCAGTAGAGGCACGGCCCCTAAAACAATAAACATGTGGTAGGGATAAACGTTGCCACCCTGACAATGACACCATCAGTATGGCTTGTGCTAGGAGATGGTGATTCCCACCAGTGTGGGAAAATCTCGCCATCAGACTCTCCAAAAAGTATTACAGATTAGAACTATACACTTTGTACTGCCTAGATGTTCTCATAATCTCCTTTCATTTTCAGTATGGATACTGCTGATGGCACAACTCCTACTGATAACAGGTCAACCAATGGCACCAGTTCACCATCTCTGTCCAATGGAGGCTTCAAACCTAACAGGCCCCCGAGACCTTCACGGCCCCCTCCACCAACTCCTCAGAGGGCATCCATTTCAGGTAGGACAGTCATGGCTGGTGATCACTCTGTACACGCACACTGCCATTTTTTAGAGGTAAACACAACAGGATTTTTTTCCCTTTTGCCAAGTACGCTTCATGCTGGTAACATTTCTTTTCAGACAGTAACACAGTGTCTCATAGAGACTATTATATCAGTTTGGTTATGTGGTATTCTACTGGGCATCTTGCACGGCACCACAGTTTTGCAATTCTGGGTGGAAGGTCAGGGCACTGACCCAACGAGTAGTATTTGTACACAGTAGTAACATGGTGAATGAGAAGTCAGGGCACTGGGGGACCTTTGCAATCTATACACTATAAGGTTTGTGGACACCTGACCATCTTACCTCCATCCTGTCTCATGGGCATTAATATGGGGTATATCCCCCCGTTTCCCAGCTGTTGGCTCCACTTTTTTGGGAAGGCTTTTCTCAAGATTTTGAAGTGTCTGGTGAGATTTGTCCCCATCCAAACAAAAGAGCAATTTGTGAGGTCAGATCCTGATGTCGGACAAGAAAACCTGGCGTGCAGTCGGCATTTCAGCTCATCCCAGTAAGGTTTAGGTCAGAGCCCTAAGCAGGCCACTCTAGTTTCTCCACATCAGACTTGTCAAATCATGTCTTTATTGACCTGGACTTATACACAGGGACACACTTCTGCTGGAACATAAAAGAACTGACAACTCACAATTTTTGAAAATGTATTTGTTTTTAATGCTTTTGCATTAGCGATGCCCTTCGCTGGAAACTCCTAAACCCAATTTTTGCATGGGTGTCCATATATTTGGCCTTATAGTGTATGTGCATACTGGTGACATGGGGTAAAAAAAAAAAAGTCAGTGCCCTGCATGGGTAAAGCGTAGTTTCACTTTAAGCTCAAATTTAGGACAAATACTGAGTTATATCTGTCCTAAAAATTGTCTTGAGGATTTTTGAAGAAAGCGCACCAATATGAACATATGGGGATAGTTCCATTATATATTGTCATTTTTCACATGGTCCCTAAAAGTGATCTCCATTGTGGGTGAATACATTATTGGTGTGGTCAAGGAACGAGGGGGAAGCATTAAAACATTTGAAATTTGACCTCAAATGCTGAATCATACCCTGAAATTGTTTTTGTTTTTCTAGCATCTACAAATGGCATCCTTCTAAACAACGCTGATGTTCCAGTGGACGTAGCGGCCAGCAGTGTCCCTCCTGAGACAGATCCGCCATCCGCTGCAGCACCCGTGTCCAGACAGATAGCTCCAGTCAACATGGATAACCAGAGAATTGCAGCCATCAGTCCAGGGGCACTACCTCCTGGGTATGAGGGTGGAGGGGATAACCGGTAAAACTTCTGTCAAAGCTCAAAGAGAACAGTTTGTACCACACGGTCTCCTAACGCCATTGTCAATGTGGGTGCTTGGCTAACAGTGGTACTTTCGTTATCCGATGCAAAAGAGAACCGGCATACCATGTGGATGAAGCAGTTTTACTGAAGTGCAATAAGAGACCATACCAGTGTTTTGGAGACACAGGGGTCCCCCTTTATCAAGGTGATACTTGTTGTCAGCTTGATGAAGGTAACCCCACAGTGTCCCTGAAATGTTCTCTGGAACCTCAGTAAAATTGATTATCCAAATGCTGTGCTGGCTCTTGCATTACGTTTCTATAGCTGTCTGTATTACTGATAAGATGTTGGCTCTCTTCCTGACCTGGTAACACTTGGATTGTTAGTTCCCTAGTATATTAGGAAAAAGCGTGACACCGGGACAGGAAGACACAGCAATGATTTCTGGAGAGGTTCTAACCCTTCCCCACTCTCAAACAAAATAAATGTTTACTATCTTCTCATTGAAGAGACTTCCCATACCTTCCTGTCCATGTGACTTCCCTGTCAAGTGGAAAGGAAGAGAGGGTAAAAATATTCACAATAAATATTCATTAAAAAAAACTAGCAAGATTTTGACTGATCTCTGCTCCTTTAACCTTTTGAAAAGTTCCCCAACCAAAACTCCTTCGGTGTAAAGAGGAAAAAAAAAGAATTTATCTGTAAATCTAAATTTGGCCTTGTTAATTTGATTGAGTCTCCAGCAAAGGGCTGCACAGTATGTAAAAGAGTTGAGAACACCATGGAAATTGCATGGATCCATGTCTTAAAGAGACCTCAAAACAAATTAAAGTATCAAGTCCCTGCAATAAAAGAGGCATTATACTTGCCTCTCCAGTGGCCCATGAGACGTACCGTCCCTCCATTCCAGTGCTTCAGCCTCCATCAGCTCCCTATTGCATCCAACACTTCTGCAAGTGTCCCGGGTTTGGAGGCAGCAGCACTAAAGGTGAGATGGGAAACGGACCACCGGAGAGATGATTATAATGTCTCTTCTATTGCAGGGACCTGGCATTTTGATTTTGTTTAGAGACTTTGCAGGGTCTCTTCAACATTTTCAGTTTTGGTTGAAGAACCTCCCCGAAGAAGTGAGCTGGAGCAAAGCCTAAAAGTGGTCAAACCTTTGGATTTAGGAATGAACTGCTTTAGACAATGATCTTTCTGTGTGAATAAGAGCAGTTTTCATATACACCCTGAATGCAGTTGTTTTTCTTTCTAAAATGAAGCATAGTGGATTGTATACTTAATGGGATTATTGTTGACCGTTTTGTTGGTTTCGTTGGTGTTTTCCACAGTTGGGAGCAGCGTGTAGATCAACAAGGACGTGTCTATTTTGTGGATCATGTTGCAAAAAGAACTACCTGGGATCGACCAGAGCCTCTTCCACCTGGGTGAGCTCCTCCTTATATCAATGGTTAGAACTTTCAAGGACAGTGCTAAACGCCCTTCTAAAGTTGTCCCCCCACCACCCTCGGTCTGCTAAACAATATCGTACAAGTTTTTTATACTTGGATTGTACACTTGTTTTAAAAATCAAACTTTATTATTTCGGTGGTGTAACAGTTTGATTCGGCTGTAGCAATAGCTTAGAGCTGTGTAACCTCAGGACCCGCATTTGTCCTTGGTCATTAAGTCGCGACCCAAGTCGCAATGGAATGCAAGGCATTAGGGTACCGTGCATTCCGGTGCAAGCGTACGGACTGTGGGTGGGAGGTGGGTTTGGGGTACCATTTAAATGAATGGCAACGCAACATCTGGGACGGAAGGTGCGATTGCGTGGTACAGTGCGTTAATCGCACAGGACTCTGCGATTAACGCACTGTACTAGTGTGAATAGGCCCTCAAAAACACTGACAGACGCACACAACCAGAGACACAATCTCATACACTGAGTCATTCTTTTACAAACTCCAAAAAATGTTTAATTTTTTTTAAAGATCCACCCATTCTCCCAACCTTACAAGAACTGAAGTGGATCCTAAGCCTGGGGTCCAGTGTGGGCTGCTGTGCTGTGACAGAGCTCCATACATAAGTGCATTGCTTTTACAACTCCCTTGTGTGCCCTGTAGAGGTGCCGGGAGCCAGAATGTGATGTCACTCCGGTCCAGGCACCTCTATAGGACACCTAAGGCAGCTGTAAGCAATGCCCGTATGGATGGAGCTCCCTTATGGCCATACTTCCATCCCATCTCAAGCTGACACTTGGCACCGGGCAGCATAATTTGAATGGCTACTCGGTGCGAGAACTGGCAGCGCTAGGGGGGGAAGAGGAGCCTCTCGCCTAGAAAAGTGGAAGGCATGCGGCGACCCACTGAACACATAACATGTATGTCTATTTAAAGGTGATTGCATCTTTGTGTTGTGTCATTCTGAGCCTGATGAAGGGGACCCTGTGAGGCCCCTAAAGGGCTGGCAATTGAATGAAATTTTTCATTAAAATTTACTTTTGCTGATCACTTCAATACGGTGTGCTGGTGACATCCCTTATAATTGCCACTGAACACGGGGTCGCAACCCACCAGTTGAGAGCCAAGGGCTTAGAGAATATGTTAAAGAAATTTAGAATTTGAAACTGAACCTGTAGATTGTTAGAGGCTTTTCTTGGCAAAATGCCGGAGTGCTATGTAAAGGAACTCTGTGTAAAGGAAAACTTGCAGCGCCTCCAGACCTTCCTGATATTATTGGAGCTTGCCACTGAGCCCAGCTCACACATTCCAGATGGCCAATCTCTATGATGGGCAGCCTTACTAGCAGATAGGAATAAAGATAGGAATATGCATGAAGCAGAAAGGTGTAGCATAACTCCTCAAGTGTCAAAGCATGGCCTGGTTTGAGAATCAGCCATGACCGGTAGGCTGCTGCAAGTATGACCTCTGTGGACTAACTATAACAGCCATAACTAGCCAAAAGTGCTTTTGATGGCTTTCTCGGTCTGTGTGCATAAAATGAACTTGCCAAAAATAATTATAAGTTTTATGTTAGAAAGCGAATTCGAAAAATATTAAATATTCTGTTTGATGCCCTTGGCTTACATGTGCAACTAACTTTCAAATCTAGATGGGAGCGTCGCGTAGACCACATGAATCGGATCTACTATGTCGACCACATCACGCGGACTACCACATGGCAGAGACCTACTATCGAATCCGTTCGGAACTACGAACAGTGGCAGCTTCAACGGAACCAACTGCAGGGAGCAATGCAACAGTTCAATCAGCGTTTCATTTATGGGGTGAGCACCATAGTTCCATTAACCATGGGAGGGACATCGTTGCTTTGATATATTACATTCTTTTCTTCACTACTTACAAAAATAATTTTTTGTTTGTTTTAGAACCAGGATTCCCAAGCACAGAACAAGGAGTATGACCCGCTGGGGCCATTACCTGTTGGATGGGGTAAATGTCCCTTTATCCTATAGTAGCCAACTGTGTTTCCATAAAGGAGCTACCGTGTTTCCCCGAAAATAAGACACTGTCTTATATTTTAGGGTAATTAATATATAACGACCTTGTCTTGTTTTTGATTGTCATAGAAAAGAGAACCGATGCCAATGGCAGGGTATATTTTGTCAATCACACGACACGGACAACTCAGTGGGAGGACCCGAGAAATCAAGGGTAAGTTTGTCAGACCCGAAATGCAGTTAGACAAATTGATGCAGCAGAGGAAGTACACGTGTCACGTTCACACAAAGAACAATATAATGTGAAATATTCACATTGGTTTAGAATGTAAACATACTGATTTCTGTCTTTCAGGCAGCTGAATGAAAAACCATTACCAGAGGGCTGGGAGATGAGATTTACAGTGGATGGTGTCCCCTATTTTGTAGATCACAATAGAAGGACCACCACATACATTGATCCCAGGACTGGAAAGTCTGCACTGTGAGTATGATATGGAGAATTCTTAGCAGGGCCAGTGAGAGTCATCAAAGCCCAAGAGCAAAAATGTAACGTATTGCAGGTTACCAGACCTTGTGTGGTGGCTGCGTTAGTTTTAGTTCTTTTTTACAGGAAACGGTTACAGAAGACTTCCTATTGATCTTGCCAGAAATATTGCGCCCTTGTAACTTTTGTGCAAGGGATGGAAATCTCAGACAATGTTATTAGCCTTTGCGGCAAACTTCTGTGAACTGCAAAACGCCTCCCCACCATGTTATGTAGATAAGAAGTTTGGGGGATGGTGTTTTGTGGTCCAAATCAGGAGAGCAACCTAGGGTGACAATTCTGCTGCTCCATAGTTACATAATGGCGAGTGAACGTGACCCTAGGACAAGAAGCATGATCCTGAAGGATCAACAGGTGAAAATAAAAAATATAAATCCTGAAAAAGAAAACTACATCCGCCGCATCTAAGGACTGGTCATCTGAAATATATTAAATGTTTCTGTCTTTAGATATGTTTTAATATTGAAATAATGTTTTTTAGGGTACGCTCTAAATTCCTAGGCACAAATACATGTTTATGTATTTACATGTGCATTTAAAGTTACCATCTCTCGCCTCAAATATCCCCTACAGGTAAAAGAGAACTAAAGCCAGACCATTTTACTGGATTTAGTCCACTTTAGGGTCAAAGGAGTACATTTACCGATGTGGTCCTGTGACCCAAAGTCCGGAGTCAAGCGGGCTATTGCCCCCTATTTGCTAAAAGCCACGAGCCACACTGCTGCCAGGAAAGATATTGACAATATTGTTGGGATTCACCCCCTCTGCCTGATTGACAGCTGGCTCTGCCTCTCTAGTGACAGTTTTGCCTCCTCCTCTGTCTGTCACTCCAATGAGCGCTGGAGGAACAGAGAGGGGAGGCTGGAATCTCCACGGGGAGTGATGACTGATGATCACCGCTCTCTACAGGGAGCTGTCCACGAGCTGAGCGATCAGCGGTTTGGGATCTGTCAACTCTCGATCTATAGAGCCAACATGTGAAAGCTGCAGTGTGGGACACCAGCTCGAAGTATTGGGAAGAGTACATTTTACTCTCCCAATTCTTACAGTTTTGTTAAAGGAGAAGTATTAGAAGTTAGAAAAATATTAGTCTTTCCTGTATCCATCGTCACTTTCTCTCTCTATCTATACAGGGACAACGGGCCGCAGATTGCATATGTGCGAGATTTTAAGGCAAAAGTGCAGTACTTTCGGTTTTGGTGTCAGGTAAGTGCACACACTGAAAATAAGTGTATGGCCTCAGTGACATGTTCCAATACACACTTTATGTGGACAACGTCTGGCATTATAAAGTAGGGGGTATACACAGTTAGAATTTTGAATGAATGAAATGTATTTCAAAATGTTGGTTCATCTTTCTAATCGTTGATGGGGTCAAATCGATAAACAACTTCAACCGCAGCGATGAAAACATTCAAAGAAGTTTGTTGGAAAGTTTTTTTTCTCGATCAAACAAAATTCCAAAAGTGAATGTGGTTTTTGTTTGGGGAACTCCATTCATCCCAAAATCAAATGTTAATGAAAAGGAAAATCAAACAAAATTTTGCACAACAATCACCAAATCTCTGATGACATTGTCGAACGTTCCAACAGGACTTTTGGTATGAACATTCGAAAATCTACCTGTGTATACCCTACTTTTGTACAGTGGAAGTACTTTTGCTTCTTCCACTGTAAAATTGGGGGGCTCTGGTTTTTCCAGTTTTATTTTTGGCACAGACATAAAAATTGTTTAAAGCCCAACTAAATGTTAGAAAAATGGTAACCGAGCAGGTTTTAAAACACGGCCCTTTTGTAAAATGCAAGCCGTGGTGTGGAGCCTGCTGTGTGTCGAGTTCTTTACTACATTACACAGCAGACAGGACGTACTGACAGGTCACATGACTGGACTCTCCTCCTAGATCCCCCCCCCTTTATTCATTTTAATTGCTCATTAGCAAAGGTCACCACTGTGATTCATAGGTTTTGATTTCCCTTCTTTTTTATCAAACAGCGTGTGACTGTGACCGTTCTTTATGTTGGGCACCTTTTATATATCGGGCCCAGTGTGCTATTTCAAGCCTAAATACTGCTACGGTACATTCTACAAGTCACAATGAAGCAAATCTTTTAGAGCTCTTTATTTTTATGCATAGTGTGCTGTTAAAGAAATCCCCTTCGCATTAATGTATTCATTGTTTTTTTTGTTTTTTAGCAACTCTACATGCCACAGCATGTCAAGATCACAGTCAACAGGAAAACCTTGTTTGAGGATTCTTTTCAGCAGGTATGTAACTTCATGTTTTGCTTTCATTTTCTACTTTCAGCACTTTTCAATGCACCCCATGCAGTTAAGCAGCCTAAAAGGACAACTAGATCTTTAGTGAAGTTGTCTTTTACTGCCGCCCCCGCCCCCCTGAGTACAGGCAGCCTGGCTTTAATATCTACCTCAGCCACAATCTGGCACTCTTACCTTTTTAACATGGACCCGGCTGCCCCTCTTCAACCAGCCTCTAGTGATTGCTATCCATGAACCGCAGTCCAAGTGGCTGCTGGAGGCCTCCATGAGTCTGGCTACCCATTGGCATTTATTGCAGAAGAGACCTAGTGGACTGGAGCAGACAAAATCTGGAGCAGCTGTGCATGGCAAGCAATCAGCTTCTCATTCATTTTCAAATCTTAACGGAAGAGAGAAGCTGATTGGTTGCTATAGGCAGCTGGTCCAGATTCTGTCTGCTCCAGTTTTGATAAATTCCATCCTAGGTCTCTATTGCAAAAAAATTAAAGTATATTCAACATTGAAGCCCAAAATAGAGTGGAAACAATGTTACAATTTCTGTCAGGTTTGTATTGCTGTCTGTGGCTCCATTAAGCATTTTGAATTTCCCTCACTTCCTGTCCATGTAAAGCTTGCAGAAGAGCAGGAAGACAGACACACACAGACACACCATAGGAAATATTTCCCATTTATTTCCTGTCCTGACCCAACCACGCTCTACCAAAAACAAAAGGCTTTGGCTGGAGTGGGGCTGTACCTCGACTTTCTTTACAGATGTCTCGGCTTTTTCACTAAATGACATATTTTTCATAACATGCTGACATTTGGCTATATTTTTTTTCTTCTAGATAATGAGTTTTAACCCACAAGATCTTAGGAGAAGGCTGTGGATTATTGTCCCTGGAGAGGAGGGGTTGGATTATGGAGGAGTGGCAAGGTAACATCTAGATGTGTGTGTGTATGTATAATATATGTATACGTGTGTATACCTGTATCTAATAAACGGCTTATCCATTTCTTACACAGGGAGTGGTTCTTCCTTCTCTCCCATGAAGTTCTGAACCCCATGTACTGTCTGTTTGAGTATGCCGGGAAAGACAACTACTGCCTGCAGATAAACCCTGCCTCCTATATTAACCCTGATCACCTGCGATACTTCAGGTTCATTGGGAGGTTCATCGCCATGGTGAGTCTCCTGGTATTCCGCTTTTTCCTTTTATCCATCTGTAAGGTTCATCTATCCTGTAGTTTTTGGAAGTTTAGCAAATTGACTTTAATAACAAATATATATTTGATGAAAACATACAATAAAATTGTCAGGCCGAAACCGAAATGTATTTATTTTTTCCTAAACTTTTTTTATTTTATTTTTTATATTTAATTTTCACTTTGTTTTTTTTTTTATTTTACTGTCCGGGGCTGTGTGGAAATATTAGGGTTCTAAACAGACCCCTGATATTTTCCTTTTAAAATAAAAAAAGAGATGTGGACACAGAGTCCTCAATCTTTTTCTGCAGCCCCTGTTATGAACAGGAAGCCTCTATACTAAGTGGGCCTGTTCCTTCATAACCTGTGGAGATAGCATGCTTACTATGTGCACAAACAAGAATGAACAGGAAGTGATGTAGATCACTTCCCATTCATTCATAATTGGGGACACTGTAAACATACCATCTTCTCAAGTAATTACAAGCAGTCAGCGATCACTGATCGCAGCGCAATTGTAACCACTCTCCATCCTGACTCACTGTTGCTGGAGGCTGAGCCGCAGGTTCGAGGAGGGGAGAGCTTGGTCACCTTTGACAGCTGACTCCTCCCCCATACCGCTCTCCATCCTGATTTGTCACAGGAAGCCGAGCGGTGCGGGAGGGGAAACGCCGGTCGCTCACATCGCTCTCCTCCCACCCCGCTCGGCCTCCTAACACACAGACACAGAGCAGCATCCAGCATGGAGGATAGAAACCAGAGATGCACCGCAATTTCGGCTGAAAGATTGTACTTGTATCATTTTGCCCAAAGTGCCATTCTCAGCCGATATGTTTCAGCTGCCAAAATTTTGGTGCATCCCTAGAAAATACTGATAGTTTCTGGGAGATGTGAAAGTTTTTAAAGCTGTACTGTATTTTTCCCAGCTTTATTACATACCATTTCTTCTTCTCCAGGCTTTGTTCCATGGAAAATTCATAGACACCGGCTTTTCGTTACCATTCTACAAACGTATACTAAACAAACCGGTGGGGCTGAAGGATTTGGAATCGGTGGATCCAGAGTTTTACAATTCCCTGATCTGGATAAAGTAAGTTTTATAAGGTTCTATGTCACGCTAGCCATAGGCTTACAGGGCTATTCACAGAAGGGTGAAGAGTTTGGAGAAGGCAGGAGAAGTGAACAATCTAGGACAACATAGCTGATTTGGAAAAATTCAGCTCACTTTCCAGTTCAGCGATGTTGTCCTAGATTGTTCACTTCTCCTGCCTTCTCCAAACTCTTCATCCTTTTCTGAATAACCCTCTCAATGGTTTTTCTCGCATCGGAAAGCATACTTCATTTGACTCACTTCTGAGCCTGAAGCTGTGACATAAGCCTGGGCTGTCCATCAAGCCATTTAATCCCGCCATCCCTGTATTAAGGCCCAATTGAACTTCTAGTTTAAATCAGCTAAAGACATTCCAAATGGATCAAAACAAAATGAGGAGAATTTATCAAAACGGGAGCAGACAAAATCTGGAGCAGTTGCCCATGGCAACCAATCAGCTTCTCTCCAGTTTGTTCAGTTAAGATTTAAAAATGAAAGATAGAAGCTGATTGGTTGCCATGCACAGCTGTTCCAGATTTTGTCTGCTCCAGTTTTGATAAATTCCGTCCAATATTTTTCAAACCGTATAGTTCCTACTAAGCCCATAGCCTTAGTAGAAACACATGCCCCCTTCCCACAGAAGAATGGGATCCTTGCTCTTTACAGAGGTCTGATACCCAACAATGATGAGTTGATGTTGGAGTTCTCCAACCAGCAGAAAGCATGAGCTTTGCTAATTGCAGAGCTTTAGGTCTGGCTCAGCAGGGGTTATGTTGGACCAATGCAGAGAGACCATTGCTTCAACACGGAGAGCAATTGTCCTTCTCTATGGTATGATGGCAAGGGACATTCTTTTCTACTTGGGGTGTAGCTGTTTTAGAAAAAAAAATGAACTGTTACACGTTGAGTATCTTTTATTGTGATGCACCTGGAATGTATTTAGCTGATTTTAAACTGAAAGTTCAGTCAGTTTAAAGCTGCCCATACACCTTACAATTATCTGCAGATTTTCTGTGGTCAGATGGAAAAGGTGCAACAGATTCCTCCATCTACACTTAACTGTGTGGATGGAGGAATCTCCACCTGGGCCAATCTTTTGCACTTTTTCCATCTGACCACAGAAAATCTGCAGATAATTGTAAGGTGTATGGGCACCTTTTATATTCCTTAGCATGACACCCCGTAAATAAGGAAACATTAATAAACATTCTCTCTTTTGAGTGCTTGAAGTGAACACTCTGCATTACTAGGAGCTATAAAACCCGGCTATCACTGGCAATTACATTCCACTTATGATCAGCAACCAATCAGAGTGATTCCCAGTCATGTCTCTTTGTCAGAGATGGTGTCGTTAGTAACCTACACTCAGCATTGTGATGGTGGTGCTTGTAGTGATGACATGGATGGCACCAGGGTGGCATGGCACTATGTCACCCTGAGGAAGGGACCCTATGTGGCCCTGAAACGTTGGCTGTGTATGACATATGGTGGCGAGGATCCAATAAAACGGATCAGGATCAATGATGCATTGCGTGTGTGCTGGTGATCAATTGATCTTCACTATGTCAGCTATGACGTGGTAATCACATACAGGCTGGAGGCTTTTTTAACAAAACATAATTTAGCTATGCAAATAAGTCAGCGTTATTGCATACAGACACTGCTAAATTTGGCCTAGGCATCAATGAGCTCTGGTCGACAGGTTTAAACTGAACATGTAGGACATGACATGAGGTAAAGATACTATATGTAAAGACTTCTATTGTAGACGTGTGTAGGTGAATACAATAGAATTGTCTGTACCTGGTTAATAATCCTGGCTGTATTTTCCCCAGGGAGAACAACATAGAAGAATGTGGTCTGGAGATGTACTTCTCAGTGGATAAGGAGCTCCTTGGGGAAGTAAAAAGTCAGGATCTCAAAGATAATGGGAGCAACATCCAGGTGACCGAAGAGAACAAAGAGGAATATATCAGGTAGATGTTGCCACGTGTACTGGAATAGAGGAAGCATCGTAGTGTTGTATACAGCGTTCAGTGCGTTGTGTTGATGAACATTATTGATCCCATATTGCCGTGATTGTTATAGTGTTGTGTCTGTGCCTTTTCCCTGCAGGCTGGTGGCAGAGTGGAGATTGTCTCGAGGAGTAGAGGAACAGACTCAGGCTTTCTTCGAGGGCTTCAACGAAATTCTCCCCCAGCAGTACCTGCAGTATTTCGATGCTAAAGAATTAGAAGTAAGACTAGTTCATTACAGAGTATTGTGTCTCGTCACTATGAATAGTTTGATAAATTCTTCTTCTTTTTATTTTAATCCACAGGTTCTTCTTTGTGGTATGCAGGAAATAGACCTGAATGACTGGCAAAGGAGCACCATATACCGGCACTATACAAGGACCAGCAAGCAGATTGTTTGGTTCTGGCAGGTAGGACAACTGTGCTTTTTTTTATATAGCTATGAAATCGTTATAAGCGAATTGATGCTTGAATGGTAAATCTGATTCTTGCTTCTCAACTGCAAGCTTTTCTGTTTTTAGTGGCATGCTCCACTTCAGTTCAAGCAAAATTGATTTATTTTGGATGTATTGGACACACATAAGGCCCATGTCTCTCTGCAAATTCGAAGCAGCTACAGAATCCCTCATTTATTTTTGGTTAGAAAAAAAAATTAAAGCAGAATTATGGGGAGAGTGAAATACACTCATCCCCATAATTAGAGCCGATGTTTGACACCAACTGTCACACGTCAGCTCTATAAATCGGGTACTGAGTGATCACATAATGCTGATTGCTTAGTTCCCGATCTTTTCCCTGCCAAGAGAGGTGACTGTCAGTCAAACGACTGTTGTATACGACTAAGGCCCAGTTTGAGGGCTGAAACATGTAAGCATTTGTTTGTTGCTGTTATGCCTTTTTGCAAATACTGTACTAAAGTACTGGATGGACGGATCCCCTTACGAGTGCTCTTCTTTTACTGTCAGTCACCGCTCTCCGCAGACATTCCCCCCTCCCCTCTCTGTTCCTCCAGCACTGACTGTAGGGACGTATGGGAGAGGGGCGGGTTCAGTTGGCGCTGGCTCTAGAGAGGCAGAGCCAGCTGTCAATCAGGCAGTGGGGTGGATCCTGACAATATTGGCAGGATCATTTCCGGCCACAGCATGACTCTACACTGTCAGCAGTAGCCCACTATATTCTGAGTTTTGGGTCACAGAAGGACATGGTAAATGTCCTCCTGTTACCCTGAAGAGAACTAAAGCCAAAAAAGGTTGGGCCATGAGTCTCTTTTAACTGCAATCAGTGCAAAGTCTGTTTCAGAAATTCCAAGAAATTTGTAGCTTGTTTATTGGGTGATTGATGTGTTGCAGTGTTTGGAGCTAGTGACAGAACTTTAGCCCAGGAAAAAAATAATAATATGATAACCAAAATTCAGTATTACTTGTCATTATTGTCCCATGGCTCCCAATGCTTGTAAGTTCATGCATCACTAATCGAATATACACAGCCTTACATCATGTATTCATTTCATCAGAAGAACTTGCCGTATAAAAGAGTTGTAAGAGATCTGTGCTGGAAACTTGAGTTTGACATTGATAATCATTATTTTTTTTTCTACCAGTTTGTGAAAGAGATCGACAATGAGAAACGCATGAGGCTCCTTCAGTTTGTCACTGGCACTTGTCGGTTACCAGTCGGAGGCTTTGCTGACCTCATGGGTATGTAACTGATTTAATATTGCCAGCCTAATCTCTGGGTGTGTGTGCTATGCACAGCTCTGTCATTGTAGTTTTACTTATTGGCATGTAGTTTATTTAAAGTGCTGTGTAGTTTGTTTTCTTGTACATATGTTTTCTTTATTATGATCATGACTAAAAATCGTCAGAAACATTAAGAAGGGTTAATGTCAAATATTGCATATTAATATTTTCTGTTCCATCAGGGATAGAGTTCTAGTGCCCTTTTTACAAGTTTAGCTATTCCATCTTTGCTGGAAAAAAGCCAGCTGGTTATAGAACTCAGTAGCTCAAGCTGCATGTGTCAGAAGGATGATTTATGCTTTTCTCAAAGGGCTCACTTTGAAGTTTTAGTCTGCAAGCTTTCTGACTGACGGCATCTGCTTTGTTTTTGTTTTTCGAGAACCCATAGTAACGGAAATACTTTTGTATTCTCAACCTTTAGGGAGCAATGGTCCTCAAAAATTCTGCGTTGAGAAGGTCGGGAAAGAAAACTGGCTGCCCAGGAGTCACACATGGTAAATACAATAGGAGTGTGCTAGTCTAAAAGGGGTTTAAAGTTCACCTATTATTAGATAACTTCTTGGGCTACCTTTGCTGACTCCGTATTTGCTGCTTAAGTTGCTTAAGTGTTGGTTGGAGCCCTGCGCAGGGGGTGTGGCATACCACTGGAGGTCAAGATCACTGTGCTGTGTGTGAGAGCAGTGGACGGGGTCTACAGAGTGCTGCAGGTACAGGGAAGTTTTGTAAATCTAAAGCAACCTAGTACATTAAAGAATAAGTGCACTTATTCTTGTTGCCCCCCTCCCTTGACCTAACAGATCTCGCCCTCCCCCTTCACAGATACGTTCTTACCAAGATCCCACACCTGCGGCCTCCTGTGTTGACATTCAGTGCCCCAAGTCTTCTCTCTTCTGACTGCCTGTGCAATAGAGCCCCTATAGAAGTCTATGGAGCTTGTCTCCTGGCCGGGAGAAGGAGATAGAAGAGCTGCTTAGAAGTCTATAGTGTACAGGTATGGTCAAAAGAGAGGATTTATGGCGAAGGTCTTAAACTACACCTGACGGCCACAGGCATTAGAATGATCGAAGTATATATCTGTGTTAAGTCAGGGGAGGAGGCTGGTGGGGCAGAAATTAATAAATGCACTTTGTTTTAAAGTGCACTTATTCTTTAAAATAAAGGACTGACTACATCACAATAATAAAAAAAAAAAAGCAATTGGACCCCAAAGAAAACGTTTTTATCTTTTACATATACTTTAATTTTTGTCCAAAGAGATTTTTTGATTGATTTACAACCTAATTCTCGTCTCTTTTCTCAGTTTTAACCGCCTGGACCTTCCGCCTTACAAAAGCTTTGAGCAGATGAAAGAGAAGCTGCTGTTTGCAATAGAGGAGACGGAAGGATTTGGTCAGGAGTAAGAAGCCCTCCACATATCCTCCGGGCACAATGCTGCAAGTGTGAACACTGCTGATCCTCGTTCCTGGCCTCTTTCCACCTCTCCGAGCCACCATCACTCACTAACCTGTCCCAAATACATCTTCACACCATCTCCTTTCTATTGATAACATTACACACACTTCTCATACAGTGAAATATGACTTGTCCATCTGAAGAGATAAATGCACCGATTTGTAGATGTAGCAGGGTGTTCATCAGTCTTCCAGCCATGGCAAGATTTCATCTCGTGATAAAGCTCTTTTCTCATTGCCGGTTACACCCCAGGACACTCGCAGCCCATTGAGCTGTATATAGCCATATTTATTGTGCACTACGGGAAGGTGTCCTGTGGAGTAATATGTGACGGGAAAGCGTATCGAAATCAGTGTTTCAGGTTTCCCCTGGTAGTAAGGCTTCATCTATAGGTTGGGCCGGTGCTTTCTGTGAGTCAGCTGGAGCTGATAACAAATGTTGGCCGTAGTCAGAGCTGATAACAAATGTTGGCCGTAGTCGGCATGGGATAAAATTTGTAATTTGTCCTTTCTCAAGCAATTCCTATGCAGTACAGGCAAAGCAGTCCATATTTATCAAACACATGTATGGTGTAGTATGTAATACAATAGGTAACATCAGCTAAACCTTTTTTTAGGAAGTCACAATGGCTTCTGATGACCTGAAAATCACTGTGCTCTCTCTAATCATTGTTATTGCCCACGTGAAGAAGTGCTCCATCATGAGGTATAAGGTTCCGATTCTAGGCTCAATTCATGAAGCTTTACAAAATATAGAACTTTAATTTACAGCCATGTGACTGGAAATCTCAATGGATTCAGATAAAAATCACTGTTTCCTGAAAATAAGGATATTTCTCCTGGCAATTTTCAGCTATGTGAATCGAGCTCATCGTGTTAAAAAAAACTATTTTTTCTGCTAGAAAGTTCCAACATTCATTTCTAACATGCTGACTTGTACATGAACTCTGAGACTGCTTAAAAGGAGCCAGTCACAAAAGGGATATGGGTGCTGTCATTGCTGGGGGCTGTCATTCTCATCCCTACTTGCTGGCCTGAGCAAAGAGAGGCAATGAATTCAGAACTCCTGACCTGAATGTTGAAACTAGGAGAGTGACTTAATAAAGGGAACGTGTGCTCCATTTTAAATCTTTAAACTCTCTACCTTGGAGCAGACTAGGAGAAATATCTGATATTACTTGTATGAAACAAAAGCTTCATCTGTGATTTAGTTTTACTTTGTTACTTGAACCTGACTTCATATGTAAGCTCCATCAGTTGCTTAAATTAGGTCCAGTGGCAGTTGTCAGGTCCTGTTAGGGAAATGCAGGATATAAGAAAGTGAAACTAAATCAGAGAAAGGCACAGACTAATAAAGGTAGTAACACCCATTTGTAGTGTCTACTATTAGGTAGGACTCAGTCTTTTAGGAGTTAAGGTTTACTTAACGATTCTGGGCTCATGCCTCCCGTCCTCTAGACACCCCGTGTATGAAGAAGCATTTTTTTTTCTTATATGCTTACCCTTTTCAGGGTGGTCACATGATGCATGGGACCCTCTCCACTGCGCTGGGAGGTCATCAGTGATGCAGAGAAATGAAATCACGGAGTTCTCTATATGTGAGTGCAGGGTGCTTAGGTGAGCCCATGTTTGCTGTCATTTAACCCAGAAGACTAAGGCCGTCTAGTGTCAGAAAGGAAAACCGCGCTGGGGAGAGAGGAGTATTGCAGCCAGAGGAACTTCTTTATTTACGCTGCAAGGGCACTATTTAATAAAAAAAAATGTCTGGAGTTGGGGTTTCATTTGTAAATCCGGGGGCAGCTTAACTTCAGCCCTCCATCTGTGGTGAAACTGCAAATCCTCTGACAGCCCCTTAGAAGTCTATAGGACTCTACTGTACAGGTTTGGCCAAGAGAGAGCCAGCCACAGACATGACTTCCAGTGGCAGATGCATGAAGAGATTTGTAGGTTCACCATATCTGGAGGGCCAAAGTTTGGATACCTCTGTTGTAAAGGAAGGAGCTGGCACCCTCACAAAGTGTCTGCTATGGTAGCACTACTCTATGCAAAGATTTAAAAAAAAAATTCGGTTAGAGTTCTCCTTTAACTGTACAGTGGGCCCCTGATGAGCCACAAGTAAGCTTGAAGAACTGCTTGTGAAGCTTAACTTTTATTATTGATCTGAAGTTTTCCAATGACCAAAAGTTGCCGGAATGCTGGAAGAGTTTTTTTGGCCATACCAGAAAACAATTTTGCACAACAACACTTGTTTGTAACAATTAAAGACATTGAATCATAAGTTTAATTCAGCTAAATACATCAAATGCAGTTGCATCAAAACAAAAGGTTTCAGTGTCTTCCAGTTCATGTAATTTCTAAAGCATACACAGCCCGAGTAGAAAAGCCTGTCCCCTGCCAGCAACTGCAGCGTGGGACCCTTGCTCTGTGTGGAAGCCGTGGTTGCATTGTGGACATCCATCGCATTCCCAAATGATTCAGATCTATAGCTCTGCCGTTAGCAAAGCCTGTGTCCCCTGCTAATTGGGGAACTGTAACACTGACTGCATGCTGGCAGAGGTTAGGCTTTTCTACTCAGGCTGTGGCTAATTTTTCAGACACCTTTTTGTTTTGATGCACCTGAATGTTTAATTTAAACTGAAAGTTCATCTTGCTAAATCACTCAGAGCGTCTCCTATGCTACACCAGAGGCTTTGCTGCATCAGCCCGTTTAAAGCCAGCAGGAGTAATGGAAATCCATCAAACGACTTTTGCTTCTTCATTTTAATTTTGCACATTTGCATGTAAAAATAATCTGTCCAGATGGTTTGTTTCTCTTTCTTCTCCAGGTATGGAAGGAATCTGATGATTAGTTTAGTGTTACATAGATGGAAATCCATTTTTACCTTTTTGTTAGAAGTTGTTCATCTATCATGTGAACATGTGCATGCTTTCTATGTCGGAGGACCAGATTATAGAAGCTTTAGGTGTCGCATCCCACGGTCTGTCTCTAGGCATGTCCTGTGTATTCTTGCTTGACGTTCATCACCTGTATTCTGTGCATGCTGACAAAGCATGCATGTGACTTTGCGTTGTCAGTGTAACATCTCAGTTTAGTCAAATCTCCTTTTTTCCATGCATGGTGCATCCTGGTCTATAACGGCCGGCGTTCTAGCAAAACCATATAGCTCAGCACTCATTACAATCTGATCCTGACATCTCCGTTAGATCTACCAACACTTCTTTAGTGCAGCAGCATGTTTGGGTAGTTTAGTTAGGCCCTCATATTACATACAAAGAGGCCTTCAATAACAGGTGAATGATTGACTTGATAAATCAGTGTTTTAGTCCTCATTCACATGAGAAAAGGCCGGCACGTGCAGCTCCATGCTGCGTGTGGGGCCGCATCGGGCAGCTCCCAGGAAGGACATGTGCTGTGTGTGATTAGTACACAGCCCCTGTCCTTATCTATGGGAGTACGCGGCCGTATGCCGCCCTACGCTCACCTGCCCCGCACATCTGTGCGGGTGTCCGTACTTGTACGCTGACCGGATGGATCCTGTCTGCGTCCGAGCTGGGACACCCGCACCCGTACGGACCTGCACTTGGGGTGAGCGTACGGCTGTGTACTCCCATAGAGAAGGACAGGGGCTGTGTACTAATCACACGCAGCACCTGTCCTTCCTGGGTGCTGCCCCAATACGGCCGTGCACGGAGCTGTACGTGCCGGCTTTTTCTCGTGTGAATGAGGCCTTGGAGTAGGGAAAAGGTTTGTCTGTCCAGTTGGGGAGATTCTCCTTCCCTTCCTGTCTTGGAGACACTACAGGCAGTAAGAGGAAAGCTATGTGACTATAATTCCCATCGTTTGTCATAGAGAATTGGAGGATTTCCCTCACCTGTTGCTCTTACGATGAATTATAATTTTTGGGTTTCCCCTCACTTTTAGTCCCAGTGACAAGGAAAACGAGGACCACAATAAAAACCTGACAAAGGGTCTGACCCTTCCCTACACTGTCCAAAGGTGAATAGGAAAAAAAAACAGCCTTTACATACACTTTAAAGACAGCCAGACACAATTGGCCTTATGTGGACATTTAAATGTTCCATATTATCATTGTACATGTTTATAGAGGATTTAGATTTGCACCCCTGTTTAGATTTACTTTGACTATAAAAGCTGGACTGTCCACTGAGGTCTGATAGTTGCTGCTTTTGTCAACTGCAGGCTAACAATGCAAACAATCCTGAATGGACATATTAAAGCTACATAGGGGGGCGGGTAGAAATGTTTCATTGGTAAGGTTGCACAGAACCTGTGCAAAAAGTCCAAATTTTGCATCAGCACTTTTGTGACCGCCCCTAAGTGGGTTGTCCATTTTCATCAAGCCTGTCCAAACCCTTTTCATAGGGGAACTTTAAACGTAGTACTTCTTCATAGCCCTAGGAATTGCCTGTTTTGGGTCCACGTAAAGTGGAACTATACTCGCCTCCCATCCAGCAATGTGATGTCCACCAACATCTTTTTCGGGATCTTCTGCCATTTTGATTGGCATGTGCAGCTCACTGTACATTGTGAACAGGCAGGCAAGAATCTTTTATTGTAGGAGAGACATAGGGGGGGAAGTTATCAAAATCTGTAGCAGCTGTTTATAGTAACCAATCGGCTTCTCTCTTCCGTTCAGGTTTGAAAATGAAAGATAGAAGCTGATTGGTTGCCATGCACAGCTGCTCCAGATTCTGACTGCTCCAGTTTTGATAAATTCCCCCCATAGTATATTGCTTCTGCAATTAAAACAAAAAATACCTGTTTGCAAAATTTTATATCTCCTGTCCAGTTCCGCTTTAAGAGAAGTTGTGCAGATGAGGCGCTGAAAGGCATTTAACCCTCGCTTAGACTTCTATTAAAATCTGTGGATTTCCAGTCAAGCAAAGTGGCCCCAAAACAGCTTCTTGCTGGTAATCCAGGGTGGGCATCCATTGCCACTCCACACCCAGTGAAAAGATCCCTTTAGTGTTGGAGAACCTCCCCTTTAGATATATATACGCTGAGTGGCCAGATTATTATGACCACCCCATCAGTACTTCGTTGGGCCACGAGATGACTCCACCAGATGACTTCGTTGGGCCGCCTCGTGACTGCACGAGATGGTGAAAGGTGATGTGAGGAATCTGACACTGCACTGTTGCCCTTCTGTTGTCTTGTACCAGTCTTGCCACTCTCCGTTCTGCCCTAACATTGACTAGTCGCTGACGGCCACAATTCGCACGTTCATACCCCGATTTTCGGCTGACAGTCCAGTCTTTAAACCCTTTAAACAATGAGCCCCTCTTGAACATTTAACGAATTCTGCTGTTTTGCTGATACTCGCTCCATGGCTCCGAGCACCAACAATCAT